GATTAAATTAAGTTTACCAATTTTTTGTGACCTTGTGACACCAAATACCAGTCGAGAAGTGATTGGCAGTCCGATTTATTCACGTAGGACCATTATTTGACTTCATTGCGGCTACATTTGGGTAATTAGTCGGACCAGTCTTTAAATTCTTTCACAACTGCAGTTTGACAGATGTACTATAGAAATGAAGTGACTACTCAAATACAATATTCATTACGACTATGTTATATGGAAGGAACATTTTGAGATTAAAAAAGAAGGTATTTATTCCTATGTTAACCGAGTGACATGGCCTTTACTATAACCTATCATAAACTATTTAAAGTCGCTGAAATTTGTCTTCTATTGGTTTCGGACATTTTTAATTGAACACTTGGGAAGAGGAGATAAAAGTACAATAAAAACAACTATAAAGAGGGGATAGGGAGGTCAATAGATGGGTGCTAGGCCAATAAATAACATAAACAGACCAACGACCCGAATGGCTAGTAAGCAAGTGGTGATATTACGATAAACTACGTATTACGCACCGACACTATTTATGAACTCACCTTATCCACAGTTTTTCGAGAAGTAAATCCTTAGCTCTAGTATTTCCTCAGTTTTATCGCACAAAGAACACAACAGTGGCAGAGGTGTGAAGACTTGTTTGTAACTACCGCCTGACGCAACAGGGATCCACTGCCATCTCTGGGACAAACATCCAACTAATAGGGATTCAATTACAGCACTCACGGAAGTTATATTGCTTAAGATTTTTCCTTGATTACGGCGATACAAAGGAGTGTGACAGGATTTTTTTTTAACCGAGAATGGAGAACATCTTGCCCAGTGTGATGCCGCCTACAGTTTCTCGAATTTGAATGTGTTTTTTTTATATTCCTTTATCTATACACACACACAAGAAAGTTTATTTTGATTTTTCTCATAGCTTAATTTATATTCTAGATGTATACAGTATATTGAGAAATTAATTGTAGAGCAACATTACAGAAAGATGTATACCCTTATGATTTGTGTAGTGTGGGGTTAAGGTTGTTTGGGTTCACACTCAGGATGGGATGGAGAAAGGAAACTCACGATGTGCTCTCATGTATACATGTTGTATTGGATGTACAATGCAGCTTGGTGCTGGGAAGGCAGCATGGTTACAAGCGTTGAGTAGAGAGAGCTGGTTGGTGAGGATGCTCAGAGGAAGACAGCTTGTGGGTCGCCATGCTCGCCGGAGGGGAGCAAGGGCCGCCAGGCAGCGCGGAGGAGGAAGTGTTGCTGGCTGGTTGGTGTAGGTAGAAAAGGGAGAGGTCACCACGAGGTCAGGTCTTAAATAGCGGGGGGTAGGCGTGGCTTAGTAGTTGACCCCCGCTCCGTGATGTATGGCGGCGCTGGTTGACCTAGACCACGAGGCACACACTGGGGAATTGATGAGGTCGGCTACTCAGCGACAAACAGCGTTTGTGGGGGAGAAATCCACTACAATACTCCCCCTTCCCTCCAGGCCGTGGAGGAGACCTGTTGTCTGCAGGGTTGCATAGCACATGTGAGGCAGAACGGGCGGTGCATGCCTCATGTGAGACAACGGCGATGGCGTGGATGAGCCGGTCGCTGGATACAACTGTCTAGATACACAATATCTGTGGGAGTAGAGAGGGAGAATAAGGGTGTGTGGAGGCGATGAATGTTGTGCTTCCCTCACGGCAGGTACAGAGTCGTCAGATGCGCCTGCTGGGGTGTGTGGGCCTGGATCAGGAGCAGGGGCTGCGTCAGCAGAAGCGGACGAGGGCTCGTGACAGCAGCAGCGTGCAGGACAGTAGCAGGGAGTACCTGAGGGAGAAAAGAGGGGTGTGTGGGTCCGCACTCAGGAACAGGGGCCGCGTCAGGAGAAGCGGCAGGGGGTACTGCTGGGCCGGGGTCGGCGTCTGAGGCAGGACGGGTGTGTTGGTCCGCGTCAGGAGCAGAGGCCGCATCAGGGGCGGCAGGGGTTACTGCTGGGCCGGGGGCGGCGTCTGAGGCAGGACGGGTGTGCTGGGGTCGGTAGGACGTGGTTCTTGGGGCAGGAAGAGGAGCTGGTGTCTGCTTAGAGAAGCAGTGCTGCTCTAGGGTGTCTAACCTGCGGTGTAGAGACAGTAGCTGTAGAGCAGATGAGAGCTGCTTCTGTGTGGATAAGCCAGTCTTCCATGTTGCTTGAAGACTGGGAGAGTGATCAGTTTCTCCTCCATCCTGTGTGAGTGCGAATCTCCGGGGGTCACCATTAGTGGGGTGGCTGATGTTTGGTTCACACTCAGGATGGGGTGGAGAAAGGAAACTCACAATATGCTCTCTGTATACATGTTGTATTGGATGTACAATGCAGCTTGGTGCTGGGAAGGCAGCATGGTTACAAGTGTGACGAAGAGAGAGCTGGTTGGTGAGGGTGTTCAGAGGAGGACCAGCTTGTGGGTCGCCGGCAGGAGCGGAGGAGGTGTTGCTTGCTGGTGGCTGTGGGTAGTAAGAGGTCACCACGAGGTCAGGTCTTAAATAGCGGGGGTAGGCGTGGCTTAGTGTTGACCTCCGCCATGTAAAGCGGCGTTGGTTGACCTAGACCACGAGGCACACACTGTGGAATTCTCGGGGTCGGCTACTCAGCGACAAACAGCGTTTGTAGGAGAGAAATCCACTACAGGGTAACCATGTCAAAAATGTAAAATTTATTTTTGTAAAAAAACCAAAATGAGATTCAAAATCATAAAAGTTAAAAAAGAGGGCAAACAAAATTCCAGCTTATCTGTTTTTAACACTTTGTGCTCTGAGCACTTTGATATTTCATGCAGGATAATGCCAGATGATTACACTACTGCATTTAAAGAATAACAGTGAAAAGGTTAAGAAAAATGTGAACAGGATAATGTGCACAGCAGCATTTTCAGTTATCCTATAGTGTGGGTTTAATTTTAGGTGTGTATTGTCAACAGCTGTTACTGATGATGGACAAAGTGAACCCAAGCCTTTTTTTGTGTGTGTGATCTCGCACACCACCAACACATGGGGACATAACTTCAAACTTGCTAGGTTATCATACAGCACGAACATAAGGAAATACTTTTTCACACAGAGGGTGGTAGAACTAGGGAACAGTCTACCAGCTCAAGCTGTGGAATTGAGAACAGTACTGGGCTTCAAAATAGCCCCAGAAAAAAAAACTATCAAGAACAATGGAGGGATCCTACACAGGCCACTGGTCTCCTTCCCTAGGTATGGTCACCTCTAGTTGTTGACCATTAGGTAAATAAGAAAAAACAAAAACAATCATAACTATTTAACCATTTCACTGCAATTCCTGCACTTACCATTTTATTCCAGCTACCGCCAGACCATTTTATTCAGCTTAGGGTAACCTCCCGCAGCCAAAGGGTTAAATGTTTTTAAATATATTGCAGGGTATAAAGATAGGTACTTCGCTGATACCAATAATTATTTAGAATTCTATTTATATAAGAATGTCTTTTGCAAAGAATTATAATATTACCAATATCACCATTGCAACTCAACATTAGACATCACAATAGCTGAAATTAACTAGAAATCCTGTGCATTTCCACTGGAAACCCTCGTTTGTTTTAGTCCTCAGATTGCCATTTTCCAGAGGAAAATCTGACTGCATAAGGCGGTATTGCATCTTCTCTTGAGGAATGATGACTTTTGCCCAATGAGATAGCGATAGCCTCTTTAGCCTGCCAATGACTTCACCTTGGAGTATAAAAAACTACTTTTCAAGTGCACTTGCCCAGCTGGCACTCAAAGACAAGGGATGACTCGGCTGACTCCACAAACAATAATGTGAGTTGGATCACTCTGAATTTTCTTGTTAAATCAAATATTTACAATTCTTTCACTGAATTTTTATAACCCAAAATATTAATCATTAAACAGAATTACATTAGTTGAGTACAGTACTCGTTCAGCTAGACCTTACAGCATTTTAGTTTAGGTGTCATCTGACAGCTTGTGTCTCAAGCTCCTGAATTTATTATAAAATAAATTCCCATTTTAATACAATAATTAAGAATTTATAAAATTATTCTGCAATGCTATGCCAGGGTATCTTGTGTGTTGTATTCAAAACACTGTGCTCCTAATGACAATGGTGCCCTAATATTTTTTTTTAACTTTTTTTTACTTTTATCCTCTTCGCCACTGATCGGCTTGTTAGCCGCTTGGGCGATCGGTCACGACTCTTTTCCTTTATATTCTTCACCAAAAGGTCGGCTCGCTAGCCGCCCGGGCGATCGGTCACGTCTCTGTCACGCACTGTTGGCAAATACTGGGCATGCACCGGCTCCTGAATGTACCTGAACCCGCTCCAGTGTTGGTCAAGTCTTCTCTTGAAAGAGCTCACACTCGGTGCCGTCACAACACTTCTGGTAGATTGTTCCAAGAGTTTACAACCCTCACTCCGAAAAAGTTTGCCCTCACGGTTTTCCGGACTTGCGGCTTCTTCAATCTTGAGCTGTGACCCCTTGTGGGGCGAGCGTCCGCCAGCTCCAAGTAAGGACACTCAACTGAGTAGTGCCCCCTGAGATGCTTATAAACCTCAACTAGGTCCCCCCTTGCCCGTCTGTAGTATAAGCTAGGCAAGTTCAGGCGCTCCAATCTCGCAGGGTAGCTGAGATGCCGAAGTGCAGGCACCAGTTGGTGGCCCTCCTTTGAACATTTTCAACCAACTGACAGTCCCTAGCATATCTCGGGGACCAGATGGGGTGACAGTACTCCAGATGGGGAAGCACTTCACTCCTGAAGATCGTCACGAGGGACGGACCGTCTAGATATCTGAACGACCTTCTTATAAGACCCAATAATTTATTTGCCTGATTTACCTTCTTCTCACAATGGCCCGAGAACTTCAGCTCATTGTCAACATACACACCTAGGTCCTTCTCACACACAGTCTCAACTAGTACATTTTCTTCATCCCGTTGGGACATATGGTACGCCTCCTTACCGTTGGTACGCCCCAGGTGCATCCTCACTATTATGCTTGTGACCAAGTACAGTACTGTACATGATACATAATAATCCTCTTTGAGAAGGGTCTACATTTAGTATACAATATAATAAAAAGCACATAGTTCAGTAGAGTAAATATGGAAAATTACCAGTACTGTACTGTACTAAAAATAGCAGTTATTCCTGAACATGCATTAGTTTAAAAGCAAAATGTCCAGGACCATTATATTTTCAATCAAGATATAATAGTCCATCAGTTGTAAAAAAAGAAAAAAAAATACCAATTACCCTGTACTGTACATAAGTTTTGAAACCTGACATGGAGGTACGCTACTGTAAAGATATCAACTTATCTATGTTAAAACTTCAGCAAACTCTTAAACACCAATGTAAACTCTATATGGCTTTTCACAATCTAATAATAAGAATTTAATACTCTCACATCACTACAGTAATCCGATCACATCTTGTCATTGTGTTGTTATGGAATAGTTGTTGAATTGATCCAGGCAGGCATTGTGTTGAGATCAAACAGGTAGACCCCATAAGTGTTGATCATAATGTTGATGACGACGACACAGAGAATGTTCATCATGCCTCCTGCAAGTATCTGGAGAAGATTAAACTATTTAGTCTTCAAGTAAAAGTGTTTTGTGTTGCACTAAAAATAAAGTTTATTTTAAAATATCAAATGCGGTATAATTTACAGACAAATGGTTCATATTCACTGATTGCTGTACTAATACTGTAGTTATAAAACTCAGAGGAGCAACTGTACTTACCATTTCAATGGAACGCATACCTGCAACCCCAAAGACTATGGCATTAGGAGGTGTGGCAACTGGTAGCATGAAAGCATAGGAGCAGCAAATAGCAGCTGGCAGCATCACATAAAGAGGGTTCACATTGATGTTCAATGCCTGTAAATCACACCAACAGTACTCAAAACAGCTCACTAACAACACATATTTTTGTACTTGGTTATTAAACTCTGTACTGTACAGGTATTATCTTCACATATAATTTAGGTGTTCTGCTGTCATCCTGATCTACATATTTAAGACTGTTGTATAATATACACTTAAAAACTTAATCTCTAAGTTTAAAATGATTATAGAGGAATACAGACCGTCATACTCTGCTTACTTGTAAAAGTAAAGTACTGTAATGTACGTAAAATTTCTTCATACCTTGGCACAGTGTTGTAATATGGCTGTGAATTTGATATGCAAAAGCATGCGGGAAGCCTTGAGCTCCTTGTAGTAGTCTTATACTGTGCTTCATACTATCACCATTTCGGTTTAAAACACATACATTCAAATATATTCTATCTGAATATATGACTATTTTAATGGATAGCAAATTATTTTCCATATAAGGTTGAAAATTCCAAGCTAGGTCAGGCTAGAACTGGAATATTAAGAGTGGGTTTATAGTATCCAGTTAACCTCCTGACAATAACAAGTGCAATGACTTATCCATTGTAATTAATTAGCCTGTATTAGAATGTGGTAAATGGACATAAATTGGGTTCCTTTTAGACAAATTCATAAAAAAATTGGATAAATTTCAGTAAGTTTTCAAAACGTGAAGACCTTGTTTTTAACAGAGAAGGATGCTGGCATTAGATTACATGGTCAGTTTACAGTTGAATACAGTTACAGGCTGTACCCACAGTAAACCCAAGCTTCAGTTACATATTAATTATTTGGATCCCTATGTCATAGGGGTCCAAATAATTCATATATTTTATTGTGTTGGTTGGCTGGATTAGATTTAACTTGTCCCCAAAATAAGTTTGGATTGATTAGGTTTGGTCAACGATGTACACTTTCAATGGTGTCAGAATTATACCCATTGTCTAGCTGTTAACTTTCAATGGTTATAGGCTTTAAAAGGACCTAGTTACTGATTGCAAAAATGCTTCTTTGATGTCTTGAAATGAGTTGTAGTGATCGTGGATTGATATTCTTGATATACGTAATTGACTGGCTCTAAATCTCCAGCTGGGAAACCATTCCTGTATGTATATGATGTATGCTGGATTATGTATTATGTATGTATATTATGTACGTGCTCCATTTATATTTATTCAGCCTAGCTAGCAGCGTGTGGCAATGTTATTACCATATCCCACACGCTTAATTAATGTGCCTGGCGACGTATGGAAGCTGCTAATGTATCACTTGCCATACGTCGTCTATGGTAGTTGACCAGGACCTTAGCTAGGGAGCAGTGCTATCCACCTCTGTGTACATACTCTTATCCAGTAAACCGAACCTACAAAACTATACAGGTGTTTGTGTTCTCTCCTGTATATAGAACTTATTACCCAGAACATCTAACATGGCGCAGTGCGTAGTTTTACTGGATTATTACGAGTGATTAGTGCAAGTTTGTGGAAAGCCGGCTGATGGATCCCCGCCTTGGGTCAACCCCGCGTCATCCCTCGAAGAATTTCGCAACTTTGAGCAGTGTCAGTGACAGTGATTTTCTGTGAAGTGTTTAGTGCATTGTGTGTTTCGTGCCATTCATGTGTGACCTTGTTCGAACGGATTTCCAAGGTATACGGCATGTTCTGGGCATTTGTGGGGTGTAGAGCTCAGCGCACCCTCCTCTGACCGTTTACAGAGAGCGACTGAGCTACTCCTATCTCCACCCCCCTCCCTCACAGCGCCGCCTCCACCCCCCCTCACAGCTGGGGCGAGACGCTCTCCTTGCGTGGGACACACACACATACATGTACTAACACTTGCTGACCGCGCGGTTTCTTATATATATTTTATATATATAACCTACTTATCTGTGTATTTAATTAAATTTTTTTGTCTGAAATCTTGTTGATACGACGGGCTGACCGGTCAACACTGATTTAAGACACAGTACACAGATAAAGTAGTTATGTCTCATGCCTTACGTAGCCGTGGACCCAGCGCCTGGATGAGTCAAGCGGATGATAGTCCCCCAGAGATGGATGACCAGGCCGGCCCAGCTCCCACAACATCGCGCAGCCCTTCACCTCAACATTCAGCGTTATCTCCAGAGATAATTGCCTTAATGAAGTTTATGAGAGATGAGAGACGCGAGGATGAAGCTCACAGACGTTTGGCGGATGAGCACAGAAGGCAAGCAGAGGCAGAACGAGACCACCAACGGAGAATGGAAGACAGTGCACGGTTTGAAGCCTTGATATCTCGCCTCACTGTTAACCAAGCCCCTGGCTCTAACACTGCCTCGGTACTGAATGGTTCAGATACCTCATCCATGCTTCCTTCACGCCCCCCAGCCCCACCTAAAGCAGCAGCTCAAACACCGCCCATCTTGGAGCCTGATGTAAATTTCCAGACTTTTCGCGAATGGCGGCGGCGGTGGGCTGATTATGCTACAATGGTGGATCTCCAGAGTTTGTCACAGCCTAAACAACTCATCCAGCTGCGTATGTGCCTGTCCTTGGAAGTTCAGCGTGTCTTAGAACATACGTTGCAGGTACCCCCAACCTCTTCGCTGTCTGTAGAGGAGGTACTGGACGTTCTACAACGGCACATCAAAGGACAGCAGAATGAAGCTCTGCGCAGGAGGGAATTGTTTAGCTGCAGACAGATGGAGGGTGAGTCTTTTGACGCTTTTTATGTACGTCTTAAGAGAGCCTCGGAAGAGGTAGATATATGTTTAGGCCACCACCAGCAGTGCGAGGAGACCCAGTTGAAGCAGGTGATCCTGATGGGTGTTAAGGACGAGGAACTTGTCCAACGCCTCACCTCCCTCGACTCTTCCTCTTCTCTTCAGGATGTGTTGACGATATGTCGCTCCTATGAGGCTGCCAGGTGTGCCACCTCTGCCATCCGAGCTCCCCCTACAGCTGTACGCGCTGTTTCCCGGTACAAGAAGGACAAGAAGTCTGCTCCTACGCCTTCGCCCACCACGTCCACGCCCGGTTCATTTTGCAACAACTGTGGTAAGCAGCACGGAACACAGGTATGTCCAGCTGCTCAGTCTACCTGCAACAGTTGTGACCGTATGGGCCACTGGTCGCTCACAGTGCGGTGCCCAGCTAAGTACGTACAGTGCAATGTGTGCGGTCGTCTGGGCCACTATGACAAGTGTTGCCCTACCCACGAACCCAAGGGACAGCGTCGGCGGAAGCTTCGGCGCCCTTCTACCAGTGAGGGCCGCCCACAGTCGCCAAATCAGAGGCACGACGACCCTGGACAAAGCCCGACCCATTTTAGGAGGGTGTACTCCTCGCATCCCAGGACCAAAGTCACCCAGTACATCAGCGCCATCGTGACCTACGGCGGCGTGTCATCCCGTCTTCAGATGTTGCCCGACACCGGCGCTGATGCTACAGTCATCGGTCCCCAGCATTTGCGATGCTTGGGGCTCTCTCCAAGCGATCTAGGACCGCCTCCCGAGGACCTCTGCGTCATGGCAGATGGTTCACAGATGGCCCCAGCCCTGGGTTCACTCTATGCACATGTCACCTTTGGCAACAGGTCGTGTCAGGCCTGGATTGACGTGCATAATGGTGTCCCGACTCCCTTGCTGTCCTACAGACATTGTCAAGAGTTGGCCATCATCTCCCAGGACTTCCCAACACCGATTCTCGAGGTAAATTACGCCAACAGGGTGCATGAAGGGAGCAGCAACTACCCTGCTGCCGCCCTACCCCTACCTCTGGCCAGTGACACCTCTCCTTCGGTAGTTGTCCCTGCTGCATCACGTCCCCACGCCTTGGCTCGCCTTCACGACAGTCACCGTGGAGCTGAGGCCACCAAACGACGTGCACGACAGACTGTGTTCCGGCCTGGCATCGACCCCGACATCTCCAATGCTGTCCAGGTGTGTAAGCCCCGCCACGTATTACAACCCAGCCAGCAGCAGGTACCCTTCATGAGTGACGACAACCCCACCCGCCCCTTTGAGTCTGTGTCGGCCGACTTTTTCTGTGTGTCAGGAAAGTCCTTCCTGGTTATCGTCGACCGTCTCTCTGGTTGGCCGGTTGTCATCAAGGGCGGTAATGACACGACGTCTGCCGCCACCATCAGCAAGTTCCGCCACTACTTCCGTGACGTGGGCGTTCCTGTACGCCTGCGAACCGACGGAGGGCCTCAGTTCACAAGCCGGGACTTTGCTGCGTTCCTCGACCGATGGGGAGTCCGGCATGTGTTGTCATCGCCCCATTACCCGCAGTCCAACGGCCACGCTGAGGCTGCTGTCAAATCCTTGAAGCACCTCATCCTTAAGGTGGCCCCTTCTGGGAACATTGACTGCGAGGCCTTCGACCGGGGTCTTCTTGAACTCCGCAACACACCCAACTACACCGGACGCTCCCCTGCCCAGGTTTTGTATGGGCGCCCCCTTCGTTCTTGTGTCCCTGCTCACCCTCAATCCTTCTCCAAGGAGTGGCAGGCTAAGACAGAGGATTGTGATCGCCGAGCCGCCGAACGTGTTCAGGACGTCGTCGCCCGCTACAACGACCACGCCCGTTCCCTCCCCAGGTTGAGTGTCGGCACCCAAGTCCGTGTTCAGGACCCGACCTCCCTACGTTGGGACAAAGTAGGCGTAGTCATGGGTCTCGGCAGGTCACGGGACTACCAGGTGCGGTTACCCAGTGGTCGTGTGTGGTGGAGGAACCGCCGTTTTCTCCGCCCCGTAACAATGCCTTCTGCTGGCCCCGCCACCAGTGTTGAGTCCCATACCCTTCCCAGTGATGAAGTCCCTCGACGCTCAGAACGGATCCAGAAGAAAAGGTCCGCTCAAGACTTTGCTATGAGCGTATAGGGGGGAGGGAGGTGTATGTATATGATGTATGCTGGATTATGTATTATGTATGTATATTATGTACGTGCTCCATTTATATTTATTCAGCCTAGCTAGCAGCGTGTGGCAATGTTATTACCATATCCCACACGCTTAATTAATGTGCCTGGCGACGTATGGAAGCTGCTAATGTATCACTTGCCATACGTCGTCTATGGTAGTTGACCAGGACCTTAGCTAGGGAGCAGTGCTATCCACCTCTGTGTACATACTCTTATCCAGTAAACCGAACCTACAAAACTATACAGGTGTTTGTGTTCTCTCCTGTATATAGAACTTATTACCCAGAACATCTAACCATTCCTGTGAGTCTGAATTTATTTCATCAAACTAATTTCAATATGTCTACAGTATTTACAAAATGCATTGGATACAAAGACAAGAAAAAACAAGGAAACACTACAAGTGGAGGAGGAGAGACTTAAGAACTGGTCACTTACCACCTCATTCAGGACTGGTAGCAGTATAGAAGCTGTGGCAGTGTTAGAGGCTACTTCTGTTAGCATGGTAGTTGCAAATGTCGTCATCAACACGATGGTTGCACTGCTAAAATTTTCTAAACCCTTTAACGAGTCCCCCAGCACCTGTGACAGACCAGACTCCTTGGCACCTTCAGCCATGGCAAAGCCACCACCTAAAAGTATCACCAAACCCCAAGGCATCTTCTCCTCTACCACCTTCCATGTCAGGCAGGAATTATTATATGTGTGATCTGGCTCTGGCTCTGTGGGGAGATTGGCAGACTCATGGTAAACTAGTTATTTGTGTTGATTATTTTTTACTATGATTAAATATAAAATGTAAACATTAATTCTTTTTTTTTAATTTACCTCAAATTCGAAGATTGATCCTAAAATCTTGTATTATAACTGAGTCAGATCGAGCAACTTTGTATATAGTAGTGAACATGTCTAGAGGTCTTGACTCAATGCTCCATGGCCGCAAGTAGTACTGTACCTAAAACTGGAAGCTCAAAACTGAATAAATTTGAAAATTACCACAGCGGGTGGAGGAACACATTTCTGCAACTGTACCTTCTTGTCATGTGGACATCCGTCATAGCCCCAGTGTGTAGATGCAGGATAATCTAATTGCTGTATCACATTTACCGATAATCAGTTTTTAAACCTGTCACAATTTGGGCCTGGAGTCGCAATCTCTAGACTCGTTAGCTATACAGAGCTGCTCGAGCCTGATGAATCCTCTAAAGTCAGAATTCTTAAAGCCAAGTGCTGTGAGGGACAATTAATAAAGAACAAAAAATTTGAGTATACTGTACTAGAACGTAGTTAAGCCAAACCAGAACTTGATTACGACTAACAATTTGAAGTACAGTACAGTACTGTATGTCACAAACCATCATGCTGACTGAAGCACAGAAAGTTGAGTTTAGCTGGCATAGCAAACAGTAGAAAGGCTATTAGCATTGCTGGTGTTGCAGCACCTACTTTCCTGCAACAAACATGAGAACACCATAAATAGACTTATCCTTTTCAACAAAAGGTGTTGGTACAGTGAATTATCCTAATTTTTCTGCTTTGAATAAGTTAACCTATTTAGAATCTTTCAAGATTATTTTTTTTTTTGTCTTAACACAAGATTCAGGTTATCAAAATTCCAATTCCATAAAAAATACATTACCTATTGAGAAATGACACACACTAGGATTACAGCAACACTAAATTTTTAAGCAAAAACTTTTTCAAGAACAATAATTCTATCAGAATGGTCATGAGGCCAAACTCCCTTCAAATGAATACTGTCAACTCAGCACAGTTACCCAAATACAGTAAATCCTTTGCAGTGGTGAAGGACAACTGTACAATCATCCAACATCTAACAACATACAATTCCCTTAGAAGAGTTACTGTATTGTGGACATGAGTGCGATTGAGAATGGTCAATTTCCAATCGTACCAAATACAGTACTCTACTCGGTACAGTAAATGCTTCCGCTAAGAAAGTACACCAGATTAATTCAGTACATAAATTTTTCTAGATTCAAAGGGATTACAAATCTCATAACTCCCTTTTAACTGAAAACATTTTATTCCTTCTTTCCCAATGTGCTCTGGGAACAAGATGCGGTGGCTCTTGTCACACTGAGTTTATAATGGACTATACAGTAGCACTGTAAGCTGTATTTGCTTTTGATCATAAAAGGGGATTTCAGATTAAATGCCCAATTTTAATCAATCTGGTTCTCAATTCTACCATTCTTTTAACCAAAATGTAAAGTAATTTCTGAAAGAAACTAGAAACAGATTTTTGTCAACTTACACCCCAAAAGTATCCTTTATTAAATCTGACCATCCAGGGATAAACTCTGGAGCTCTGAAGAGCCAGAGTAATATTAGTATGATAAAGAGTGACAAGACCACAACCTCTTGGAAGGTCATGGGACCAAGTTCACGGTATTTTGACAACACAAGCTTCTTCACTGCAGCCTTCCGATCATTAGTTGGTTCCAGAACATTATTCTTCTTTTGACACCTGAGGAAAAAATCTGTTACTACTACAGGGTATGATAGTTAACATTCAATTTGGCTTTCCCATTAATGTTTAATTATAAAATATGGAGCATACAGTACTTCCATATGTAAACTAGAAAGTACAAATTTAAATGGTGTAATAATGAAACATGAATATAAGACACACTAATGATAATACTTAAATCACAACCATGTACTGTACTGCACACCTCAGTTTATACCCTTATATCATCCTGGAGTAACAGTGGTCTATACACTTGCTGAATCAGTGCTCCTGAATATAACAGTTGGCACAGTATCAGTATATGACTCTATGTGTGTTTAGAGGAGTAGGACTGGTGAATTGTGACAAACTCTGGGGTGTTTTGGGTTACCAGTGAGGTGAGGTGAGGTGAGGCTCTTCTGTCCTCATAGATGTGTTCAACTGAAATATTGCTTTAAGATGCATAAATATTGTGGGATAAAATTTTCAAACAAGTGAGAGAACAGGGAGGCAGTACAGTATGTGGGAAAGGTCACTATCATGTTATAAATTAAAATAGGTAAATAGGGTTTTATATTAACCTCCATCTGTAAGTTGACTCACCATAATGCTCCTGAGAAGTAGATCTGTAGCCATATCCAGGCAATAAAAACACAGATCAACATCCCGGGAACGTTGAACACCATCCACGACAGAAAGTTGAGGCCAGTGGGCTCGCTGTAGGAACTATTGGAGGAGGTTCATCAGTTAGCATCTCTCACAACTTTGGGGTAATGGGACAGAGGGGAAGTATCTGTTTAACTATAATCTTTGTGCTATAACTTTGTAAAATTTTAATATGGATGATAAAATATTTGTTATAATTATTAAGTATACATACATGATAACTACAGTAACTACATCAAGTACAAAACTTACAGGAAGAAACAATATTACCACAATTACATTTACTAATGGAACACTGTTAGACCTCCATGCACTGTACAGTATGTACAAATTATTATAATATATGTGAAGAAGACAGTTATGGGGTATTGTAAAGGGTCAAGTTAATCATAATTTCAAGTAAGATCGTACAAACAAATAAATTACAATGTTCACACACACACTGGCACCCACTCAACCTTGATATGTAAACAATTCACATACAACCCATCACACATGCATATGAAAGAACACATCACCCTGTCAGTATTCCACCACTCTGCCCTTGTCACCATTTTCACAACAACCTAACCATGCTTGGCAGCATTCTCACCACAAATACTGTACTAATAAATTCTCCCTCTCCACTAAGTGCATTTCCATACAAGCTTAGATAAAATAAGCAACATGCATTGGTAAGCATGCAAAGGCTGGTAAAGCAGATTTAAAGGAAGCATTTTGAAGAAATGGCAAAATTTTTGCATAATTTTTTTAACGAATCGCTTAGCCTTTATTTCTTGGTTTTTATATCGCTTTAACCATAAAGCTAACATATACCTATTACATAACCTTAGATTTAGAGAAGCAAACATAAGCTCATCATAAGTGGTGACCTATCTCTCGGAACTCAGAGATTTCCAGTAAAACTTTTGCAAGTGGTGTTTAGGTCAACACGTCTAAGGTTTCTTGTTTTTTCTTGAACTCACAGGCATGATCTTAGGTACGTTTACAGTAGATATTTACCATCAATATTTCACTTTATCCACTTGTCATTTTCCAGGAAGAATTCACTTCCTTATTCTTTACCAGGCCAAGCCAGTCAATGTTCCTTGCTTCCGCTAATATTCTTTGTAATTATCATTATAATATTTGAACCTTGCCATGCTCTTATTTGAATGATAATGGCATGTGATGGTTAGTGCCTGAGAGCTAAATGGTCTACACTGGTCGTCATCCCCTCCTAGTTAGTTAATATGAGTTCTAGTGGTTCAGGTGGCTGCTTACCTCTACAAGTCCCGGAAGTTGGTTCTTCTAACACGTTGATGCATAAAATAACCTCCCAGAGTTCCTACAAAAAATTTGGGGTTATTAAGGTCCTTTTGTGTACAGTACAGTACATGTATTAGCAGTGCTGAAATGATATCACCCAATACCAGGAGTTGGTTAGAGTTTACTGTTGTTGCACTGGTCATTAACTCTGAAACAGTGGATGTTTTACATTCCTTGCACTCCAGCTTTTGTGCATATGGGGGAAGATTAGAGAACCTCTACATATTAGTGATCTGTTCATACATCCCGTAATGAGTTTATTTTCACCAGTTTGTCTCTTCAAAGTCATCTTCCCCTTTGTGCTCTTAGCCCTTACTTGACTAGATCCAAGATTCTTTCTAGAAAAAATTTGTTCTGCAGAGTAAACCAAGGAAAGGCAAATTTATACATGCTAAACCTTTATGAAGTATACAGTGTATTAGTAAGAGAAACCATTTCCTAAAGCAGAACAACTGCAGTAGTGTAAGGTTAGTATGCAGGCAGCCTTCAGTGAGAAGGTCTCCAGTTAATAATACTTTAAGTCATATGATGACTCTTAATACACCAAAGTGGCTTTAAAAGTTATGATAAAGTGATAAGAATTATCCAGTTCTCCCTCACTGCTTACAGTAAGAGTTATTAAGCTTTTTGCTTTCATGCAAAAACAAAACTTAGTAACCTGGCAAGAACGCCCTTCACCACCAGATTGGGCCCAGTGCCTGTGAGTGAACCAGTGCCTCCCAGGTTGGCCGAGTAAGCAGTGGCCAAGAAGCACATGTCCCTGAGGGCACGGCACTCCTCGTTGGGAGGTATGGTGGTCAAGCCTGTGTGGCCTTCAGGCTTCTTATCCTCCTGATCAACCTTTGTATCCTTAATCACTTTTTCCAGTTTTCCATTCTTGCACTCGCTGCCAGGATGTACGCTGAGAAGTGTTACTGCAGTTAGTTTATTATTGACAAACTTGGGGACCTATTACTTCTGGAAGACCAAAAAATATATTTCCTGTAACAGTTAGTACCAGTACAATGAAATCTTCTGTTGAGCTACAATTACACTGGTAGTTTGGACCTGAATAATATATTCACCATTACTTAAAACTCCACAAATTAAAATGATACACTGTAACATGAGTAATTTTTCACAAACCCACCTTCTCTGTGTAAATATTACCCATGATACAACAAAATGACAATTAATACTCTGAAAAGAATCTTCAACTATATTTTTCCCTTTTACCTATTAAATCTGGTACATCAACACTCTTCTGCTGTTGTACAGCCACAACTCCTCACAGGTCTACTGATTTGAAAAATAAATCACTATGTTGACAGTACAGTACTTAAAACAATTTGTTACGTCCGTTTTAATGCTTAAACAAACTATGACAAAGTTTAGTAACTGCTGTAAAATTTAGTGAGAAATTATAATTTTCACTTACTTCCTGTCAGTGCTGGGAATAGCACTGCTAAAATTAGAGGCACTAACAATATTCAGTGCAGTACTAGTGATACTACTATTTTTTAACATTGTTTATGAAACAGGTAGCAGCACAAAGTTAAATCTGCAGGAAAAAAGTTATCATTGAAACGGCTACAACACTTTACAGATACGCAAGGTGGGGGACTTTACCACAGCTCAAGATATTTTCACCACTCAACACACTTTTAATTTGAATATTATGAAACACTTTTGACTATGGGTATTAATTGAGAGTAGTATTTGCACTAATTCAATGGAATACTCTGGTAGAAGTAAATAACAAAGGTCTTCGAGTTTAAGTTACGTCCCACATCCTCATACAATTACTGTATCTTTAAACCGTGTTACTAACCTTATGATCGCACCTTAGTTATTGTTAAAAGTAGCCTTAAATATCTATCGTAGGTTAATATTAATGAGATAACCGCCGACACGTTATTTCTTTTGATGTTGTTTTTTCTTACTATATTTTCATCAGTGAATTCTGATATGATATTCATTTCTTGGGCAAATCCTTCGTTTCATAGATAATTAGGTGCCAAGGCGCCCACGGCAGGTGTAAAGTTATGCCACGTTAGGTTAGGTTAAAATTATAAATAACCACTTTTTACCTTACAGTAGTTGCCCAAACTATGTGCCCACTGCAAAACAGTGAAATAGTGGCGTTATTAAACCAATTTTCTATGAAAACTCGCCGACGGGTATATCGTCAATAATTGCAGCATCTTTAAGACCATTAAACAATGGAGTATGCTTCTGATTTTTATCTTCGATCCAAATACTTTAATGTCTCTCCATGTCTTCCATAATCACACTCTTGCTTTCCCACTTAGAGGAGTTGTATATTAGCACTTTCTTTGATTATTTCTTCATTCTTACGAATGACTTTCACTGTAGATTCCACCATCCCAAAAGACCGTGAAATATCCACTGACCTCTCACCTTTTTCATATCATTTCAACACATCTAGTTTTTCGGTTTAGCTTATATACACTTTCTCTCAGCTCTTGCGCTAGCACTTGCTCATTTTGAATAGAGGCACAAAAATGCCGTAATAAACATCTGAGAAAGTCTTCATCCTGATCCGGTACAGTAACATGTAAACGAAAAGTCCGCCAAACAGCGAAATGTTTTGTTTATGTAACAAGGAATATAGAGGAAGGACCTTTTACTCCCACATGTAAGAAGAGATGCCCTGGAGTATGTCGCACATATCGTAGATGGCGTTGATTCCACTGAGTCTTTGAGTCTTTTGCTGCATGTTTTATAAATTGGTCCGTGCGGAAAGTTGTTTTTTTAATGATAGCTGTGCAACACGTACGCACAGTACGTTATTAATTGTGAAAATTTTATTGTAATTGTTATTATTATATTTTCGTCGTAAATACGACTAAATTAACAATGGAAATTGAATTAGGTCCTAAATTAATTTTAAATATGAGTCGTCGTAATTCTAAAATAAAATGATCTCTACACAACTGAAGAAATTTAACTATTAAAGATATACTACAGGTAATTTATAACACTGTACTATATTTTGTTGTGCATTTTCCTATGAACTTTGAGTCATTAATTTATGCTTCAAACATACATTAAATTAAGCAGATAATCTAATAGATGAAGTAAAGTTTGTAAATTTACCTGGAGACCGGTTCACTATTGTTGACCAGCTCCAACTGATTCTGATGAGAAGGATATACACTTAGGTCCATACCATCTGTGCCAGTCTCCCCTCCATCATGGGTCTGTGGATGTTAGGACAATACAGTAGTGATGAATAGTGAGGCCACTAGTACAATATCCAGGATTTGGTGGCCGTAAAGAATAACAGATATAGCCTGGTCAGATGGATAACATTATGTGGATTATGTTTCATATAACAGATAATCAAGCATGCTTATATAATATACTCGGTGACTTACCTAGCTTTTCCTAGGTAGATGGACAGGAGATAGTACAAAACCATCCATGGCCTAGGTCAGCTGACGGATATGCATAAGGCATACATGTATAGTACTGAATACACACACATGCACAAGTACAATCACAAAGTGAACATACCTTTTACTTTATCCTCTTCACCACTGATCGGCATGTTAGTTGCTCAATATTTACTGTAATGTCTAAAAGTTTGATAATTATTCATTAAACAGGGTGTAGTCAAGTGACCCGTTTATGGCTAGACTACAGAGGTTCCGATGCAGTCTGGAGTCAGGAACATGGCCATAGTGAAAGTGGGTCCCGTGGGCATGACTGCCTGTTAGGGACAGTGTGGATACAGCACACTATATACTAAGTCTTCGGTACACAAGAACAGCGGGGAGATATGATAGAAGTATTTAAGTGGGTGAAAGGAATCAATAAAGGGGATATAGATAAAGTTCTTATAATATCCGAGCAGGATAGGACTCGGAGCAACGGATTTAAGTTGGATAAGTTTAGGTTTAGGAGGGAGATACGAAGGAACTGGTTCACAAATAGAGTGGTGGAGTAGTGGAACAAGCTTAGCAACTTTGTAGTGAGTGCTGGAACGCTGGAAAGTTTCAAAAGGAGACTGGATAGATTCATGGATGATAGAGAGTGGTAGTAACTCTCGACAGGAGCTGCCATGCACAGGCCAACCGGCCTATTGTAGACTCCTTATTTTCTTATGTTCTTATGTTCTTATGTGGTTGGTAGCTACTGTCGACACCTTCACTTCCCCAAGCTGTAAACTTAGGTACCGAGGAGGTGACCACTGTATCCACTGGACCGCTGCGCTCCTACCCCAGTAGAGTACTTGCCAACAATGCATAACAGATGCGAAGAGGATAAATAAATATTCTTCCTTTCTTACCATGCACAACTCCTTCAAAATGGCATCCACTATAGGAACCATCATAGCTGTGGTGGCTATGTTGGAGATCCACATAGACAAAAACATTGTAGTCAGCATGAATCCTGCCATTAACCTGCGTGGAGACTGACCTGAAAGATGGTGAAAATTATCATTCATGATTATGGAATGAATCTTATTTGAATATATTTATTTTTCATTTTACAATTACCCACTTATAACTTTACTAAATTAAGGTATATATAGTAATTGGTAACTCAAGGGACTAACAATGTCTTTTGGGTGTCACACACCAACTAGTCGCAATAGAATTTAATCGACAATTTTTTTTTTTTTTTTTACAGGGAATAGCCCACCCGGGCACAGGTCACTGACCCACATCAGGGCCTGGGGGGCCAAAATATGATAATGATGATAATAATGATAATAATAATAATAATAATAATAATAATAATAATAATAATAATAATAATAATAATAATAAAAATAAAAATAATAATAATAATAATAACTATTACTATTATTATTATTATTATTATTATTATTATTATTATTATTATTATTATTATTATTATAATTAAAAAAATAATAACAAAATACCTGTACTAAAATAAAAATAATATATTAAAAATAATAATAATAACCATAAATGAATACAAAAATGAGAAAAAATAAATCAAGAATGAGAAGCGATATACATTGCAGACGATAGTAATCTCTATGCCAGCAACTCAGACCTCCATTCCTTGATGAGAACTATGAACACTGAATCGACTAAAGTCGGGACCTGGGTAATACGTAATAAACTGACCTTAAACCTTGAGAAAACCCACTACACGATCTTTCACAGTAGAAAAAACTTACCTCCATGGAGACTTGAACCCCCTGTACCTTGGTAATATAGTCCTCAAACGCGAACAAAATACTAAATTCCTCGGAGTTATTGTTGATGAGAAACTTAACTGGAGAAACCACATACAAGCCATTCACAGTAAAATCAATAAACAGTGCGGTATCATGTATCACACTCGACAGTCACTCACTCTCACAGCAATGAAAGAAATCTATCATGATCTTGTTTACCAACACCTGATACACTGTCACACACTATGGGGGGCCTCTGGCTCTTCAAAAACACAATATCTGGTTACTGCACAAAAGAGAGTTGTACGTACAATGACCTACTTGAAAAAACAGATCACACAAACGAAAAATTTGCTATATTGATTTTTTTTAAATTCGAGGATATAAACACTTACTGCTGTGCCCTCTTTGTTTACAAATCTATCAATCACTTGCTTGACAATAATTACTTCCAGTTCCGGAATAATCAGAGACACAACTTAAAGCACCCCCATGCGCTCCTCTCAGTCCCAGACCGCCATAAAATATCATGGTGTGAAGGTGTGGAACAACTTACCCCCACACATCCGAGCAAAGACTACGCTCCCTTCCTTTAAATCATCTCTAAAAAAATATCTATTGTCGAAGTATTAATATTTCTTGTAACACTTACTATATTTACAGTACCTGCTTTTATTGTACCATCAAATCCGTTTTATCGGAAATTATCATGTAAATAAATAAGTAATTACCATTGCAATAAACATAATTGCCAACTAGACATAATCCTGAAAGATCTGTCCTCTTGTTCAACCTTATTACTGTACAACCCATGTTGTACTGCTCCCCCATTATACTTATGTTTTTAAATTCCACTCTAATTTATATGTATATGTGTATGTGTATGTGTGTGTATATATACGTATATATATATATATATATATATATATATATATATATATATATATATATATATATATATATATATATATATATATATATATATATATATATGTGTGTGTGTGTGTGTATATATATGTATATGTATTGTATGTGTATATGCATGTATAAATAAATAAATAAAAATAATAAATAATAAAATAAATAAATATTGAAGTGATAACCGTGGTAACATTATGAGATGTATTTATTACTACCATGCTATTGTACTATTCCAGATGTTACTAAATGTTACATAATACTTCCTTGAGATAAATGTATAGTATATATCAGGTGCCTCAAAGAGAGCTCAGGTTCTCAACTGGCTCAGCCATGTTAATATTGTTATTAATATTTTTTTTAAGGGGATTAGCCCACCCGGGCACAGGTCACTGACCCGGGGCCCGGGGGGCGAAAATATAATAATAATAATAATAATAATAATTCAAAGTAAATAATATTTATAATACAAAGTAAAATAAAATATTAATGGTAATAATAATAATAACAACACTGTGATAATAATAATAATAATAATTACAAAGAAATACAAGAATGAAAAAAAATCAACAGTGAGAAACGCTATATGTATGTTGTGTTGTCATGTAATAGAAACAATTGAGGCCCTACAATTGTGTGTAAATGGGGCAGAAAGTCAGATCAGCAACCTGGGACTTGGTCACAATTTTTGTGATGCCATATGGCAGCAGGGTCTACCATTAGACAACACATTATGCTTCCAATATCTTCCCAGGCGGTAGTACCTTCCTGTTCGGTAGCTGCCTGCTACCTACAAGAGGATTAACCACAAAACCACCAGAAAATTGCAAGACGTGTTACTGACAGTTAAGGCATTATGTTCATATAGAATCAATGTGTTTTGAGACACCCGACATATCTAAAAGGAATTTTGACTTAAATGTTATTTACAATTTGAATGTTTTAGGCACACTTGTACCCTTGAGTACTCCGTTAAAGTTTGCCCATCAAATTCTCCGGAAATTTACTTACCAACTAATAGAATAACTCTGAGAGCAATGCGCTTGTGCAGGTTACAATGCTCGACAGCGATGGCGACTGTTAAACCACCCAGGAACATCATGTTAGTGTCCTTTAGGTAATGGATGCAGACGGAACCGGTGGAAAGAATTCCTAGCAGAGGGAAGGCGAACACTGGGATGAGCGCCGTAACAGCCAGTGGCAGCGCCTCCGTTATCCAGTACACTGCCATAATAGCGATCACGTACCCACATCTTGCTGCCTGAAACACAACACCTCATGAGCATATTTTGGTACTGTCATATCTTCACTTAAGTTCAGTATTATCAAAGGAAATCACCTATTTTACAAGTCAGTTACCCTTTAACAAGAGACAAATTTTATCGGTTTTATTTCAGGTTGACCTACACATATAGCTGCCATACCCACACAACTACTGTATGTTACCCAAGAACTCGGGAGGTGTGACCTGTCTACTGTTTAGACACTAAGGTAACATTACGAGTTACAGTAACACAGAACTTGTACAGTTTTACTTCTTTGTGATGTACTGTTCATGGAAAATCAGCTCATCATTATGACTAAGTTGATCACAGATTGTTTTGTTCATCTTAAATAAACACGTAGTTGAAAGGTGTCATACCACATGGACACTCCCATCTGGACGACCATCTGTTGTATGTAATTTTTGCTATCCCACTTAGACAATTAGGTTGAGTTGGATTAGGTTAACTCGCCACTTTCCAAAATATCTTCATAACTCAAGGAAAATTTAAGTCACAACAGCCAGCCCTTACGAGGGACTGAAGGTAAAATGTGCCGCAATTCCAATAGCTCACAATCTGACAAATAAAACTGTAACAAATTATTATGCTATATTTTTGGTATCATCATCAAGTCCACAGAAAGAGGATTGTAAGTGAACATTTAGATTAGTGGCTCTTCTATCCAACTGTTAGATAGGGTGGAATCAAAGGCATTTCGTCTTATTAACTCTCCTCCTTTAATTGATATAATCTGTCGTCCCCTTCTCCTCGCCGCAATGTTGCTTCGCTCTCTCTCATTTACAGGTACTTCAACGTGCAATGTTCAGTGGATTTGGCATCCTGTGTACCGCCGGCAAGGCCGTGGGCTCCTAACACTCGTCTTGCCCGCGATGCCCACCGTTTCTGTGTGGATGTCGGTCACGCTAGATTCTAGAATAACCCGTTATAGTACTTCCTTCTTTTCTCACACAGCCAAACTGTGGAATGCTTTGCCGTTACCCCTAGTGGGGCGGGCATCTGTCAGCTCTAGGTATGAAAACTCGACTGAATAATGTCCTCTGAGGTGTTTATAAACTTCTATTAATCACACGTTGCCCGCCTAAAGTATGAGTTAGGCAACTGCATACGTTCAAATCTCTCGGGATAACTAAGGTTCCGTAGTGTGAAGGATGTTTTCAATCACATGTACTCCAAACGGGAAAAGCACCTCGCTTTTGAAGAGCGTTATGAGGGATTGAGCATCTAGGTATCTGAACACCCTTCTTATAAGACCCACTAGCTTATGTTCACGATTCACCTTCTCAAAATGGTCCGAGAATTTCAGTTTTTTGTCGACATGCACAATGCACACCCAGACACTTTTCACACTTGGTCTCCGTAAATGCATCCTCTTGCATTTCGTGACACTAATTCTTAACAACTATTCCTTTGACCACTCTTGGATTTGACAGAGATCTTTCTGCAGCGCTTCTCAGTCCGTTTGGTTCTTAATCTCCCTGAATAACAAATGGTCATATCAGCGGTAAAAAAAAAATGTCTGATGGGTCACAGGTTGCCCACCACTGCTCTCGGATCATTTATTAGTCCTGTTCTAGTTTACACAGTAGGTCAACTTACCGTTATATTCCAGGCTAAAGGGATGAAACTGAATATGAATGGCGTGAGCACCACCACCACGGTCCTCCAATAACGTTGCATTGCTGGCAAAATTATCTGCATGATCAATCACTGGCTGCCCTTCCTTACTGCCTCAATTTGTAGGACGTCAAATCTGGAAGTTTTTATTAAATTATTTATTTTATAGTGTACTCAAGATATATGTTGTTGCAATGTTTATCTTTTTTTAATCAAGAACTAGTATATTTTGGTAGGTGCAAGTGGTGAGAAAGTCGCCGTAATTTGGTGACCAAAGACCTAGAACCATTAATGCGTAAAAAAACCCGCTAATATTTGGATCTTGACTGTTGCAAGTTTTGGTGGACAATTTTGGTCTCATTGTGCTTAATATTTGATGCTTAATGCAATGGAGATAGTCTTTTTTATGGAAACACTAAAATAATTGCGTTTTTTGTTCTTCAAGTTCCGAGTTTAGACGTTTCTGTCAGCAGCGGAGAAAGTTATCGACAGAAGATGGTATTGTGGGGTATGGGATGTTTGGGTTTACACTCAGGATGGGATGGAGAAAGGAAACTCACAATGTGCTCTCTGTATACATATTGTATTGGATGTACAGTGCAGCTTGGTGCTGGGAAGTGGCAGCGTGGTTACAAGCGTGATATAGAGAGAGCTGGTTGGTGAGGATGCTCAGAGGACCAGCTTGTGGGTCGCCATGCTCGCCAGCGGGAGCGAGGGCCGCCAGGCAGCGGCGGTGGTGGTGGTGTTGCTTGCTGGTTGGTGTAGGTAGAAAGAGAGAGATCATCACGAGGTCAGGTCTTAAATAGCGGGGGGTAGGCGTGGCTTAGTAGTTGACCTCCGTGATGTATGGCGGCGCTGGTTGACCCAGACCACGAGGCATACACTGGGGAATTCGCGGGGTCGGTTACGCAGCGACAAACAGCGTTTGTAGGGGAGAAATCCACTACAATACTCCCTCCTTCCCTCCAGGCGGTGTAGGAGACTTGTTGTCTGCAGGGTTGCATGACACATGTGAGGCAGAACAGGCGGTGCATGCCTCATGTGAAACATAACGGCGATGGCGTGGATGAGCTGGCCGCTAGTGGAGGCAACTGTCTAGATACATAAGATCTGTGGGAGAAGAGAGGAGAAAGAGGGTTGTGGAGACGATGAATGTTGTGCTTCCCTCACGGCAGGTACAGAGTCGTCAGATGCGCCTGCTGGGGTGTGTGGGCCTGGGTCAGGAGCAGGGGCTGCGTCAGCAGAAGCGGATGAGGGCTCGTGACAGCAGCAGCGTGCAGGACAGTAGCAGGGAGTACCTGAGGGAGAAAAGAGGGGTGTGTGGGTCCGCACTCAGGCGCATGGGCCGCGTCGGGAGCAGGGGCTGCATCAGGAGCGGCAGGGGGTACTGCTGGGCCGGGAGTGGCGTCTGAGGCAGGACGGGTGTGCTGGGGTCGGTAGGACGTGGTGCTTGGGGCAGGAAGAGGAGCGGCTGTCTGCTTAGAGTAGCAGAGCTGCTCTAGGGTGTCTAACCTGCGGTGTAGAGACAGTAGCTGTAGAGCCGATGAGAGCTGCCTCTGTGTGGATGGGAGCGTGATAGGTTTCTCCTCCATCCTGTGTGAGTGCGTCACTCCGGGGTCACCATTTGTGGGGTTATGAGATATTTGGGTTCACACTCAGGATGGGATGGAGAAAGGAAACTCACAATGTGCTCTCTGTATACATGTTGTATTGGATGTACAATGCAGCTTGGTGCTGGGAAGTGGCAGCGTGGTTACAAGTGTGATGTAGAGAGAGCTGGTTGGTGAGGATGCTCAGAGGAGGACAGCTTGTGGGTCGCCATGCTCTCCGGCGGGAGCGAGGACCGCCAGGCAGGCGGAGGAGGAGGAGGTGTTGCTGGCTGGTTGGTGTAGGTAGAAAGAGGCAGGTCACCACGAGGTCAGGTCTTAAATAGCGGGGGTTAGGCGTGGCTTAGTAGTTGACCTCCGTGATGTATGGCGGCGCTGGTTGACCCAGACCACGAGGCATACACTGGGGAATTCGTGGGGTCGGCTACGCAGCGACAAACAGCGTTTGTAGGGGAGAAATCCACTACAGTATCGTCCCAATACCTGTGAATTCTTGATCATTCTCCGCACCAGCCACTCCGTGACAACACGTTAATAAGGTTAGCTTAGGTTAAGTCATGATTTGTTGTGCTTTTGACTAGTGATTCTCAACTTAGAAGTTGAAAAAAACATTTTTTTTGCGTCCCCCCCCAAAATTGTCTACCAAAACTAGCAAGTCAAGATCCAAATACTTACCAAAACGATCCTTAACAAATACTTCTGGATGGCACGAATAAGAAGTATGTTTGAAGAGTAAATTTAAAATTTACACGCCCATAAAGATACAAAGATTTTTGCTTTTGTCTTGTATCATTAAAAAAGTAGAGTACCTGCAATACATGTCACGATGAACACGGTATTCCCATACGGGTTAAATTCTACAACAATATTGTAGTTTATTTTCTGCATCGTAATCTTGGGTGTAGGAAAAAATTAGGTGGGTTAGGCAAGGATACACCATTTTCCTTTGTACCCGGTGAATAGATGATATTTAATTTTTCTCCTAACAATGAGTATTTAGGTCACTTGACTGTGAACAAACATTAAAGTTAGTTATGCGAATGTAGTTCGTTCATTACAGAAATAAAAAAAAATAGCTCCTACATTCTCTTGTGTGGGTCCGTGACTACTATAAAAGCGTAGATATAGTTAACAACTTAGATCATCCTAACTCTCCATCATTGACAATTTACTTTGAGAGTTGCTGACGTCCCATGGCGACAAGTTGCCTGCGAATGAAAATTTTTAGTGACAAAAATCAACACAGAATAAAGACGAAAGCTAAGGTACTCCGTTGTTTCCATTTTCCCGTGTGATTTTATCAAGATTTATCTTATCCACGTTTTCATTGTGGATTTACATGAAATATATATATATATATATATATATATATATATATATATATATATATATATATATATATATATATATATATATATATATATCGTACATTAGATTTGATGTACTTGCACATTTAGATTAATACATACAGGTATCGAGATGTGACGCTATTGGACCGTGAGCACCACTGCTGGACATACTTATATACTCATATTCAATACTTAACCCATTTTAATTATTCAATTGATTATAAGAACCTTTTAAAGAAATGAAGGCCGTTTTTCATTTCTCTAAACACGCCTATGATCTGGCATGATAGACACATTTTTTTCATGTGTCAAAAAATTACATTACAGGTGCCATAAACTGTCCGATCACCGCTGCGTTGCAGTCACTGTCACAACTGTATCCAATTAAAAACCCATTCAAGAAAATACTGGTTGAGCTTATCTCACCGTTTCATAAGGAATAGACTAACCATAATTTTGGGCTCAATTATCAACTTATTCTAGATTGAGCAGTCACGACATCTGACTCTACCACACCATCAGCGAAGTAAATATACCTGCTTCCTTTTTATTCCTCTGCTTTCTTAAACTGAAAAACGAATGCAGATAAATAAAATTGTACAGTATTGTTATTACAATCATGTTGATATGTAAATAATTCGCTGAAGGACAATAATAGAGCATATAGGGAGGTATGATAAACTTTTTTTCCGTAACTGTTCCGTAATTATATACTTTTTTTTGCAACTTGAGCAATATACGTAAAACCCTTAAACGCCCAACCATGTCGTCTCGCTCAAACAAGTGATAAGACAGTACGGTACAGTACGGTAAACTGTGTCCCTCTGGCTCTATATCACTTTTTAGATACAAACTAAATACTAAATTAGTGGTACTCCTTTTCTTAAGTCATAATGTGCAAATGCTATAAATATTTCCATATCTAGCACAAGTTGAAACAAAATTGTAGGGTAAGGCTGACGCACCCGCTTTCCTCTTCACTCCACCAAGGCCGCAGCCAGACTGCGTTATTGAGTTACTCAACAACTCAGTCTGGCTGTAGAAGTTTAGCAAGTTGACAGATTCGTTCACTCAACTTCTTAGTTGTCTGAAACCAGACAACTGGTCTCTTACGCACTGTTGGCAAGTACTGGCTCCTGAGTGTAATTGAACCTGCTCCAGTGCTTATGAAGTCTGGTCAGTGATGCCAAAGTGCGGAAATTTCGTCTGCTACACGGTAATATGACTCTACGAGTAGGTGTCCCGTTATTTCATGCGGATATGGCGACCGCATACCACAGCAATGCGGAAATATTACCGACTGATTTAATTATATAATATTCCCAATTTTACTTTAAAATTAATTAATACCACAATAGCTATCGAAGTATGATCGGCGCCCTCAGAACTTAAATACTGAACGTGTAAAAGTAGTAATAAAATTCTGTATATGTTTAACTCTTTCCCAGGAAAATCCTTAGTCAGACTCAACATACAAGAAACTAAAAGGTAAGTTATAAGCAACATGTACATGTATTGGTTTTCATTGTCAAAATAATGTACAGTATATATATTGAATATAATTGTTCATTATATCCCCTCCCCTCTCTTTCTCTTTTCCTCTGTTTCTCTGCCTTGCTTTCTCTGTTTCTCCCTCTCTCCCTCAGTTCAGGGCTGCGTGGCTACACTGAGGAATTCAAGTTTTGGCTCAAGAGGGTCGAGGGCAACCCCAATAGAGCGTACTGCCGTTTATGCCGTGCAGATTTGTCTGCCGAAATATCAGCTCTGAAACGGCATAAAATCTCGCATATGCACAACAGAAATGTTGAGAGGATGGAAACACTGGACCAGGAAACGGACTCTCCTGAGGTTGGTGACGCATGGTAGGCAGAGCTGAAATTAAACTTGCGACCCAAGATGATTTTTATAGACACGACCGTCTAAATAGACATGACATAAACTCAATTGACCCCAACACAATAGAGGACCACCTACTAGATGACCAACTATATCTTGAGGCTGGTGTGCATATACTACTTCACACATCTGAATTTGCAGGCAATAAAGACCTACTGAAAGATGTCAGATCAAGAAGTCGATTATTCCCAGACCAGCCTGTCAACAAATGAAGACCAGATTTCCTTTCGATAATAGGTTATTGTAGCTTTGTACAGAGCTATCACTTAGAAAGTGCCTGAGCAACAATGCCTTGATGGTAACCCCATCTCTCGTAAGTTTAGCCATGGAAGTACCGCGAATTTATAATGGGGATCACCAGGCACTTGATGATGAATGGCGGCATTTGCATAACATATTTCTCCTAGATGATATCAAACAAACAAACAACACCGAAATATTTTTCATAGGATTACGTAAACTGAAAAATGAGGATGATGAACCAGCATTTTCCGTATTGCCACAATTTGCCCTTGATCTGCTGGCCCTTCCAATGCAGACGTGGAGAGGATTATTTTCAAAGGCGGGTCTCGTTAAAACTAAGCAAAGAAAGAAACTACAAAATTCAACATAAGCAGTAAAAGCCAGAGGGGAATGTGTGAAATTTCAACCTCCGCAGGATATGATAAGATCTGTGAAACAGCGCGGTTTGATTGATAATGACAAATAATTAATATTTTTACAGTATAGATTTATTTTCAGCTGTACATATGTATTATTATATATCTGATATCATGAACTATGTCATTTGTATTTGTAATGTTCATCAAGGCTGTACGTTTCATGCATTAAAATAATAAATCATAATAATGTGTATGCAACTTGTTTTATCCTACTACTATACCAAACTCAAATTGAAATAGTTACCTAAGGAAACCCATTTCTTCTAATCACTTCTGATTATAAAGAAAACGTGCAGTAATGGAGTGTGCGGTATTTTTGGCAACGCTGAGTCTAGTCTTGAAAGAGCTCACAACACTCTCTGGTTGATTGTTCCAAGAGTTCACAATTCTCAATCCGAAATAGTTACCCCTCACAGTTTTCTGGACTTGCGGCTTCTTCAACCTTGAGCTGTGACCCCTTGTGGGGTGAGCGTTCGCCAGCTCCAGAAACTCAGGGTGATCTGTTTTTTGTACGTGTGCTGATGCATACGGCACACGGGTGATGGTGACGCCCACTCATGGTTGAATGTCCGCCTTCGTGTAAACAAACAAACAACGTATAGACGGCCCGCGCCTTGCACACTAGCACCATCTGTTGATCCCGCGGCTTTTGCCTTGCTTTCCCGTCTTTCTTATATAGTCTTTGGTCTGAGACAGACACACTACAAGAACTATGATTATGACTTGAGCCGGAACCATACCCACTGATTGAGGTAAATTGTTTAATAGAATTAGTGTTTAACCATTAATATGGTCGTTTTCTTTAATTCTCACCACTTTATTAGTTTACTAGCCGTTCGGGTTCTCCAGGTTTATATTATTACAAACCTTATCTACTAATGGCCACTTACCCACTAGCCTGGCCAGCGGCCAGTGTAGGATCCCTCCATTTTGTTGATAAGTTTGTCTAGGGGTATACAATAATTTAATAAACGTATAATCAAGATATAAATAAATTCTGCACGTACATATGATATGCTTTACAACTAAAATAATCAGTCGGGAAGTGGAGGCGATCGAGCCAGCCACGCTGTAACCTTTTGTACTGATAAAGGCTTCGTCTACTCTTGTGTGCTGTATCCATTTTTACCTTACAGGTTTATCATTTTGTTCAAAAGATTATAACCAGTTGTAAATTGCCTATAATGTTTTTCTCAGATGGGACTCCTCTGGATGAAACTTTAAACGCTTAAGGTGTTCAATTACAACACCATGATCACCGTCGCCATATTTATGAGCCAACAAAATAAAGTCTTTTTATATTATTTATGGATGTATGAGGAAGCATTAAGTACTTAGCAATTTGTGAAAAAAAAAGTTTTACAAAATTAATAGAATCCGACGGAACTATTCAGATGCATTTTGCTATGGTTGAGGTAGGGACAGCGAGAGGGTCCTGGGTGTCTTTCTAGGAAGTGAGAAAAGTCTAAGCATAATTTCGTCGACAAATTGGTCATCTCTGTGTCCTATACTATGTTAGCTATTTACATGTGTTCCCAGTGACGTGGAATAGGCATCTTGCGATTTACGAATCTAGTAAATCGAGGCCAAAGACAACCAAGTCATGATCAGATTACATTACCAAAATGTAATTGAAGGACAGGCGAAAACCTCTTAATACAGTGACGATGTTGAACTTTGATCCACACAATCATTCAGTGACTTCGTAGTTGTACCCACACATCTGCTACACGTTTCTGAAAATAAGGTTGACTCAGCATTGGTCATAGGCTGCATTACTGTACTCACAAAAATCAATTTCCAGTCAGGTCCTAATGGTGTTTTTAAGGATACTGGTGGAAGCTATGCTGTTACTTTCATGATAACATTGGTGGATGGTATAATGTAAGTGTTATTGAATGTAGTTAATGTTTTGGACTTGTAGAAATTATCTCTTAAAACATTACAATACAGTATAGGCTCCTGAGTTGGGATAATTTCCTTGACCGATCAATGACTATATACTGCACTGTATTAGTGGATAGGGCATCACTCTCTAAAAAGGTTAATGGTAAAATAATGCCTTTGGGAATTCGTTTTTAATTTTATATAGTGATCTAACATTAAGGAGGATCAGTGAAATATCTTTATTTAAAAATTTTATTTTCATCACAATCATGAAGATCATTATACATTATATCACTTTTCATTACTTAGTAACTAATTCATAAGAAGGCACATCCATGTCTTCGGTAGGCATAAATTTCTGGTAACTGAATAGTCTAACTTATTGACGATATTTAAATACAGTATATATTTGAGAGCATCTCTGGACATGTGCCATGTAACTGGCCTCAGTGACAAAGTACATCACCTTTCTCAGGTAGTGTCACATTAAAATTCGAAGTTGTATGAATTTATTTGCATCCTAGAATTACAGCTGAATTATCCGTACTTCTGATGATACTAAATTGACTAAAGTGAATAAAGGAATAAAAAAAGTGGGGGGGGGTCCAAGTTGTGGGTGGGGAAACATGTCGAGAGCAGTGCGCCCACCCAGCTGGGGGGTGGACGCTGTAAGCACCCCCAAGAAACTTTGAAGTCTGAAGTCAGTAGTTAATAATTTTTACTATATAAAAACGCCTGAGTACAATATTGCATTTTCTGAGGAAATGGAGGGGTCCGGGCCCCCAGGACACCCCTCTGGATCCGCCCCTGGCATCTCATCTTATATGTCTGGGGTCAATCCCCAGCAAAGGACTGATGTGAGAAGGGTTTATCCAGTGTGAATCTAACTGTACCAAACATGGCAGGTTTTCTCCAGATACTGTACTCTGGTTTCCTCCTGTACTAACACTGGGCTGTCAATAGTCACACGTAAAATTTCGGAGCATATCGACCCTCCACCTGCACAGATAGTTGTTTTAGCTACTGTACATCCAACCTCTCCATCAAATTTGTCACATTGGGACACAAGAGATCACTCCAGACCACGACTCCTGTCTTGTCACGATGAAGCATTTCCCATTTAACCACAATCACACTTGCTTCCTTCACTAATCACTGGCCGGCCTTTCATCCAAGTGTATAGGTTGGAAATTGTTCTTGGATCAACATATATGTATTATTTTTCTTATTATATATATATTGTACAGGTATCATTACGTGTTTTTAAATTTAGATTATTTTTCAATTAGTTCTGTATAGGACGGGACTGGAGGGTAAGAAAAGCTTTCAATCTTCTTAGCTGGTTTGTCATCATCTATTTATTTCCCAAGATCGTAGACATTATTCCGGAGTCTGTTCCACGAACTCTCGTAGCCCCAGATGTTAGAATGAATTCTCACCTGTAGCCTCACCTGGTCATCATAGTGCATACTTGGGTACAGTTTAAGTCCTGTGATTTTCTCCACATCCTGTACCTTGGCACTAAATTCTTGGGCATATCTTGCAGGATTCTATTGGGTGAAACGGAAGAAGCTTTATATTTGTAGAGCAAGTATTGTAGTGGAAATGTGTTTACAGTATAGTACAGGGTATGTGAAAACAGCCTTATAATGAAATGCTAAGGTCCATAACATTTAATATATATATATATATATATATATATATATATATATATATATATATATATATATATATATATATATATATATATATATATATATATATATATATATATATATATATATACGTATTAGTAATTTATTGTTAAGTATTAAAATGGATACTTATTGCCAAAATTCTTTTAATTTTATTTTATACTCTTTGCCACTTGTCATCTTAATAATTCACTAATTCTCTGCTGCACCTTATATGGGTACTGGGCATACACAAGCTCTTGAATATACCTGGGCATGTTATCTGGTTGGTCAATAATGGACTTACAGGAGCTCACACATCATGCTGTAACAACAGTTGTTAAATATGCGCCGTGGATTATCTGTAGTTCAAACTCAGCAACTGTAAAAAATTTAGTCTCTGTTGATAAATGAGGTGTCTGAGTGCTTGCACCTATTTGGTAATTCTTTTTTGGACGTTCTCAATCAATTTACAGTCTTGGAGATCAAACACGATTGTGGTACTCCAAGTGAGGTAACATTATACCTCTGAAAATCCTAAGCATATACCTGTACTGTATAAGATCTTTGTATTCTTCCAAAGAGTTTATTTGCAATGTTCATATCACAATTATTTATAATGTTCAGTTTATTGCCAATAAAGGGCCACAACTCCCTGAGGTAATCAAAGAGTACCCTTCTACCTGTAATATGTGAACAGAAAAAAGTCCTACAGTAAAAGGGGCGATTGTCTAACGAGCAAGGCAGTTTCAGTGGGTCAAGACTAACTACCCCCAGTTAGGGCATCATTCAATTTCCTGGTGAGTAATCCCAGTCTATTTAATCAGTTTGCTTAATACTGGCCTGTTGGGAGTCATAAAATGAGGTTTTAGGATCACCCTTCCAATATTGGTAAACAAGGCTCCATGGTTGTAGGAATAGTATTTTTCTCTCCACCATAGTGAGGATGCACCAAGAGAGAGAAGGGTTTCCTTGATGGAACATTACTGTACTTACATATGAGGATGAACTTTGAAGGGTAGCTTAAAAAATATATATACAGCGTAATGGCGAAGTATCTGTAGTGCCTATTTGACTTGTATGAAAAACAGCACGATATTGTCTATAACACTTCAAATAACTCTGAACAGAAAGAAAATAACTTACTAAGCAGTTGGTGATGGAGAGATACTGTGGGTAGACAAAGGCAAGAGCGTCAACTTGAGTGTGAGGACAGTCTGCCATGTGGTTCACCAAAACTAAACAGCGACTCACTACAAGGAACATGTGTGTTGGCACCACCAATCCTCCACTTTGGCTGAAATTTAAAAAGTAATGAGATAAATGGTGAGCATAAACATAAAACTGTAATTCTGTTGTGACATTACAGAGTTCAAAACCAACTAATGGCTCCTTTAAGTATCTATTAAGCATTGACGTCATTATTAAAAGTGGAAATGAAGTACAGAACACTGAAGCCTCAAAATATGGACTACAGGAGTATACGGAGGAAAGTCTGTGTTATGAATGAAATTCTCTTCCACAGAATTTTTTTTATCTGGTTGAAAATACTGTACAGTAGGTTTACTACCAGAAATATAATTAGACATACATCTGTCATGAGTTTGGAATTGAATCAAGATCTTGTTCTGCTTTTAGTACAGTACAGTATTACTATTTTTCATATACTGTACTGCAATGGTACAAGTTTTCATATACTGTACTGTAAAGGTACAAGGAACTGTCTTTTACAACCAAAATTTAATTATCTCCAATTTCAATACTGTATTTTATTTGATTTGAAAAATTATGAAAAATCAGTGCACTGCCTAATATACACCCATGCAGTGACTACAATAAGAATTAAACGTTTATTTTTTAATTTACTCGTACAATCCACATCTACATGAAGACAATTTACCTGAAAGTGGTCAGATCATCAGCAAAGGTGTCAGCATTGTAGTCAAATACAGGTCCAGTAACAATATTCAAGGGTCCATATAACACCATCCACTTGTTGATAAAACCCTTGAGCTCCTGCCAACGCTGTGTCAACTGGTTGCTGAAGGGCACAGCATTGCTTATAAGATATGGCAACTGGTTGTAATCCATCCTGCTGGTGAACTCTGTTTAAAGAGATAAACAAGATTTTTTTATGAAATAAGGGTTTTAAAATAGAGTGCAATTTTTAGTGCATCAATTTAATCACCACTTTATGCTGTTTTGCTATTACTGTGTGCATACATGTTATTTCAAACTCTTTTGCTTTGTGCAATAAAAAATTGCAATTACGTGACTGGCCAGGGTAGTGCTGGGTCAGGTGGTGTAAGGATCTTGATCACCATCTCTTTCTCTACTGTACCTGCTGGCAACACCTTCCTCAAGCTGAGGTCCTTCATGATTAACTGCAGGATATACTGTTAAGATGACAATGCCAGATTTTATTTTCTGCTCCTCACAGTACTTCTCACTCAACTTTTACTTTTATCCTGTTAGCCACTAATCGGCTCATTAGCCGCCTGGGAGGTCAGTCACATCTCTGTTATACACTGCTGGTAAGTACTGGGCATGCACTGGCTCCTGAATGTATCTGCTAAAGACTGGTCTTGAAAGAGCTCACATTTGGTGCTGTCACAACACACGATGGCAAGTTGTTCCAAGAGTTCACAATTCTCACTCCGAAAAAGTTTGCTCTCACAGTTTTCTGGACTTGTGGCTTCTTCAACCTTGAGTTGTGACCCCTTGTGGGGCGGATGTCCGCCAGCTCCAGGTATGGACACTCAAATGAGTAGTGCCCTCTGAGATGTTTATACACCTCAATTAGGTCACCCCTTGCCCGTCTATAATATAAGGTAGGCAGTTGCAGCCGCTCTAATCTCTCTGGATAACTGAGGTGTCGAAGTGCTGGCACTAGTCTGGTGGCCTTCCTTTAGACTCAAATGTGTTGGAGTTGTACGGCTTCACTATCAAAAAGTCAAACTCCATACTGTTACCTCCAACACATGTTTCATGAGTCTAAAATATTGATAAAGACTTTGTATGGACCATCCTACTACAGTACTGAGTTTGAAAATTGTGCAGGTTACAGTTCAACTGATTTATCTGGTAAACCAATGTGCTTTCCAACACTGGTGTAAGGCCTTACATATGTGAAAGTGATTAGCAACTAAATTTTTTAAAGAACTATGTTACATAATTTTAAAAGTATGAACCAGTGTACTGTACATAACATAAGACTGCCTAATAAAGCTTATTTTTCCTTCAACTATTACTATACGTACCACAGGGGAAGAGCGGCTGACGGGTTATATTATAAGAGGTCACAGAGTCGTAGCTCGGGCAGTTCGCTGTCTGTTCAGGTGTCAGTCTCACATCACTTCTCCAGGGGGGGTACCTGTTAGTCTCGTGAATACTGGACACAGTAAAGCTTGTCCACAGGGGCAGCCTCACATGGGGAGCGTAGGCTGTGGTGAAAGTGACACATACTGTATATATATGTATATATATATATATATATATATATATATATATATATATATATATATATATATATATATATATATATATATATATATATATATATATATGTATATATATATGATAAGATACAAGAGACCGTTAAGATATAAAGGATAGAGAGTACAGTAATGTATAGTACTCTTTGTCAATGATCTAGAAGAGGAAATTTCCATAGTCAATATGCAAACACAAAAACATTAAAGATATATAATCAGGAAGTGGTGCTGGGGCAAGTTTTAAGATAGAGTACAGGTAATCTCAATAGTTTTCTTTCACAATTATTCTTTTCTTTTCCTCTGCCTCACTGCTTTTCACACAATTTTTCTCACCACTCACCAGTTATGTAATCTGGTTGTATTAACAAGATAGATGAGTGCTGGCTCTGAGGGACACCCCATGGCAGGTGCTCAGCCATAATATTTGGCATATTTTCCTGAGCCTCCTCCAGGACCTCAAACAAGTTCTCAGATTCAAACTGGTCTCCACTGCACTGGGCCTCTGAGAGACGGAATAATAGCTCTTCCTTGGTAGGCAGCTGTGCTATTGGAGGCAAAACTTGCTGTAACAGATGATATTATGTGTTAAAGAATGTATTGTTTGTTTTAAATGACAATAAATAGTAATAAAAAACAAACATTTTGGGTACTACAGTGAAAAGTGAATGGGTTCCATAGCCCGATGGTCTGTTAGAGAAGTAATGTTATGAGACTGCACTTGACTGCCTTCAGTTCCCAACTACCAGGGTGAATTAGGGGTGACTTAGGCACAATCATGACCCTTAGAACTGGAAGTTTATACTGCACTGTAAAATGTGAATTACGTTAACCTATCAGATCATCTGGGTACCACAACAAAGTCACTGTGTCAGGATATTAATGTACAGTATTATGGACTAATAAAATGACATTAGCAATAATGAAGAAGCTGAATTTTCTATTCAGTGTCGACATAAAAAAATATGAAGAAAAAATGGAAATTATGTTGCTCATAAATTCAGATTCTTCGACACATGCTCATTAAAGACCAGATCTGACCATACCGGCTCAAGTTCAGATACTACTTTGAGCCAGTACTGTACATGTCCAGTACTTGTCAACAGTTCATAAGAAAACACTGATTGACCGCTCGACTGGCTTTCGGCAATCATTAACCAAGAGCATAAAGTAAAGTGACTGAGAATCTGAATCCTGACAGTACAGAATTCAGATTCTCAGCTACTGCTCAGTAGACAGTCTGTATTAATCAACTGTTGGACACCATTCCAGGGTAATAATTGTCCAGTGCAGTCACGGAGTTATCTGGTATTTTCTGGGTTTCCCTTGATGCTGGGTCACACAGCTCATTAACTCGAGGTGTGATTGTTGTGTTGATGACAACTTTAAAACCTAGGGCAAATTCACATTTGGGTAGACTTAGGGCCATGCCAGCCATCATCAATATACTGAATATACTGAAAGGCACTTGGCAATTTATAGGGAAATAAGTATTAAATCTTAGTGTGATATATGACAATGATGAGGATGGAGACGGTGATGTTATGAATCATTATATTATAGTACTGTGTTTTAAAAACAAGAATAGTAATTACACTAATCTATCAAGAAGTAAAAATTGTGAGAAAACTCTCCTTGTAGAATGGAGAACCTACATAGGGAGGGAGAGGTGACAGAGGGGGGTTGACAAGCATGTGGTGGAGGGCGCCCCAAGTGCCGTTGTTGGGCGCAGGCTTCACGCCCATCAGGAGGCACATCAGATTATACAACTCAATGTTTTGGAAAGCCTCAACCTCAGTGTTTCTGCGAAAATCTGGTCCATGGGCGACAAACAAAGCCTGCAAGGGTTGTGATGATTTGTCAGATATGGAACCAAAGAGGAAATATTGAACATTCCATAGTCAAGCGGCTGTATATTTTGTTTTAAATACGAGTTGAACAAATCCAGTTACTGTAAATTAAAATAAAAAACTTAAATTAAGGAAATTCTTATTCAAATGTAATATGTATGGAATTTGCAATCCTGGAAAGACATACAGTACTTTAAATTCGTAGAAAACTTTACTGCATAGTATTAACAGTAAACCAAGATGATAAAATTCACAATATTGAGTGACCCATTAGTTACCGTACATTCAAGATGGGAAGTATATTCTGTAGTCATCACTTACATTCATGACAGGGAAGTAGTTGTCATAGCCGTGTTCACCAGCATCGGCCTTGTAGGAAGCATCACCGGCAATAGTGAAGCCAGGGTCCAGGTCCAACACAATGTCCTCCACACGACTCTGAGTACCCATGTGCCACCTACCAGATTGCCATACTTATTTGAGTGCTATGCTTATTAAAGTGTTACATGTTAGCATACCATTTAATAAGTAATTTCTACACTAACATAAAGGGTTTAATGGCTGATGTTTTCCTATTTCATATATAGTGATTTATTTTTAGATTAAGGTAAATTAATAAGCAAGAAATGAAAGGTACAAGTGATCATTGGCAAGGCCACAGGGTACCTTGGCCTACCTGATGGGGAGGAGTTGTTTCTCATAGACCCTCAACTCAGGGCGCTTGCAGGCTAAGGCTTGCATCATACTTCTCTTGGTGGCTGGAGGATGAAACAACTAGTTACACATTCACTTCACCTGGTCTGCATTGTTTTGTGAAAATATTGTAACATATCTTGAGAGATTTAAGACCGAGAGTAATATGAATGTTTCTTTAAATTCGCCCATTCATAAAAAAAAAATTCTAATATAATTTTTCCTCATTCATGATTTATAAAGTATACGTAATGTTTTACTATTGATTACGGGGAGAATTATCGTGAATCTTAACAGTGGTCACAGAACCTCTTCCACAACACAGAAATATTATACAGTAGCTAGAGTTATTAGAATACTGTACTGTACTTCATTGGGAAAAAATACGTATAGTTCAAACTCTTGAAAAATCCGAGAGGTGAATGAATCATTTCATCTGCCTCGTGTATCCCAACCAGGTTAACCTGTTAATTTTCCTGTGTGATAAACATTTAATCATTACAGACTGCCAATATAAAACCAGAATCGTGTAGCTCCCTGGCTCATGATCTGCCTGTGAATATTCCTGTCAACGCTTACATATACACATTGAGTAGTGTTTCGCCCCAAGCTGTAGTTATAATAGAAACGTGGGTATACAGTATGTGACTGAACATATAAAAATACTTGTGCTAAAAAGGCAATCTCAATAATGCTGGAAATACGCTTCTTTTTTTCTTCTTTTTTTCCAAAACTGTTAAGGACAACTAAGGTTATATAATTAAATGGACATGGGGCTCTTAAGCTGGTGCAAAGATATCTTGCAAGGACTGGTCATGTAATGTAGCAGAAGTACTGTCACACTGGCAGACACAGGCTCACATGGGCTTTCAAAATCTGTACAGTAGTGTATACTGTATCTGAGAATCTGGCAAGAAAGTTGTTCCTAATAGAGATGGTTTCAACAAGTACAGCATATAATAAGTCAACAGTATTTGACACTGAACCAAGAGTTCCTGTACAGGTACTGTACTTATCAATAAATACAAAAAGACACAATACCTGGCTTCGCTTCACCTCACCTACTTTACCGTCAAGAGGAGTAAATCTGCTAAAGGGACCATTCCAAAACCGGGTCCTGTTAGTGATGTTAGGGATGTAATCATTGAGGTTGATTGCCTTGTCTTGTCCGGCTTCTGCCATGCCATGGTCAGCAATCAGCATCATGTTGACACACGACAACAGGTTGCGTGCCTGTAACCCCTCCACCAGACGCTTCACCATCAAGTCAACACGAACGAGCATTTTTTCCAACTGCAAGTTGCAGTGAAAGACAGATTATATAAGATAGGCATTAAAGAACATCTTCAGATGAAAATCCCCTTTGTATGAGACACACATAAGCTTCAAGCTGGAAATAAATAACATTTTCACAAGAAAAAATACTGATATTGTTATTCCTGGATCCGTCCCTGCTAATGCAGCATTTTTCATCGTTATTAACTTGTATTATGTTCCATAATTTCTATAAACAATTACGTCATAACTACTGTACAGTGAAAATATTTTATCATTCATCTGAATGAGACATAATGTACTATACCTCAGGGGAGTGGGGGCCGAAGTCATGACCCATGTTGTCTGGTTCATGCATGTAGAGAGTGATAAATTCAGGACGACTCTCTGGGGGCAGCTCCAGCCATGACAACACCTGTGGGGAGGAGGTCATGTTATGAACAATTATAGGTTGGAAAAATATTAAAGTCAGAGAACCAATTACAGCTCAGTAAAAGTGCTACATGAATGCCAAGGATCAGTTGCTTGTAGGCAGATAAGCCATATGACTGATAAGGTTAATAGCAGGCTTTTAAAACTGTCATATAATAATTAAAAGTAAGCACAGGCAAGCATAGTGTCAAAGATTCCTAAATAAACAATTATATGCCAAAAAAAATCACATAACTAGTTGAAAGAAAACAAATAAATATCTGAAGGACAACTAAAATATTTGGTATGCCTGTGACAGAATCAGTGGTGGGGAAAGGCCCAGGTAAATTGTATAGTACATAACTGGATAATGAGGCAAGTGATAATACACATGGTACTAGTGTACTTACAGGGTAAATGCTGAATGGATCGAATGTGCAAAATAGTGTAGATGGAAACTGTACTTAATGAGAGCAATATAAGCGTGTACAAGCATGTGTGTTTACAGTGAACAGGAAGACTAACAGTGTCCAAGATATATAATCATCAAACATTTCAACATTTGGTCGGGAAATATAAGAACTAACCTTGTCGACGCGGTACTCAAAGGAAAGAGATTCATTATAGTAGTACCAGTAGGTGGGATGGTTGCCGTCCACCTCAGAGCCTGGCCAGAAGAACGTAGCTGCTTTCTTACCCTGAGCCAAAGATAAAAGATTATTTTGTCATAATTTATTTTGTTATAATTTATTTATCCGCATTCTGAAAATTTAATAGACACTAATAAAAAAACCTTTATTACAAGCAATCATTCATTATCTTCTCTGGTAAAAAAAAATAATAACTTGACATTAATCTATACTTTCTATTAGATTTGTACAACTTAATACCCAAGCAGAAAATATAATATGAGAAGAGCTTATGTAATACTGCAGCTACACTGTACTGTACTGGTTTGAATCTACCTTGTTATGTGGCAGTCTAGTACGTTGGGATTACGTAGTTGTACTTTAGGATTACCAAGACAACTGTACGACTACCGGTTGGATCCCCAAGACGCCTTTAACAAGTCAAGTGGTTCTGGTCTGTTTTATGGCCAACATGGAGAACTTGATTCCCTCCTAAAATGGGTATTTTATGTTCCACTAGGTTCAATCCCATTTAAAGGAGCTCATGGACCTTTTTTGGGGTGATGTTTTTATCTCTTATCAACACTCCACTAACTGCTCTCTTTCAGCTCATGTTCTTCAAGGTATTTTCAGATAACTGTCTTTTCATCTTGGAGGTGTTTGGTCCTCTGAATGATGAATGAATCTCAGGAGCAATTAATTTTTTTTTAAGGTATGTACAATATATCCTGGCTAGGGTACTAGTTTATCTAATGTATGACCTACTCACTAGCTGGGGGTGCTAGTTTATCTAATGTATGACCTACTCACTAGCTGGGGTGCTAGGTCGTCTGATGTATGACCTACTCACTAGCCTACTCACTAGGGGGGTGCTAGGTATGACACTCTAGCTGGGGTGCTAGGTCGTCTGATGTATGACCTACTCACTAGCTGGGGGTGCTAGGTCATCTGATGTATGACCTACTCACTAGCTGGGGGTGCTAGGTCATCTGATGTATGACCTACTCACTCTGATGCTGGGGTGCTAGGTCGTCTGATGTATGACCTACTCACTAGCTGGGGTGCTAGGTCATCTGATGTATGACCTACTCACTAGCTGGGGTGCTAGGTCGTCTGATGTATGACCTACTCACTATAATAGCTGGGGTGCAAGCCAATATTTTTTTCTTCAGATACAACCTTCACCTCCTGGTCCTGTCTACTCCCACAATAGCTGTTCCCAATAGAGAACTTTACCTACAATCGCAACTTATGATTCCTGTAGAGAACTTAAGACTAATGCAGAAAAATAAATTAATAAAGAGTGGAAACTGACCTGTCTTTCTACAGTTTTCCAGACAGGTTCTCCTCCCCACCAGCGAAGTTTGAAGCTCTCGGGGCGGCCAATTCGAAACTGTGTCTTGAACTCCGGACTGTAGAACTTGTTAGCCATAATCCCGTGTGCTGGTGGGTTCATCCCCTGCAAGAACCATCACTCACAGTTACACACACGAACGTCAATTAGTACAAATAATTAAAAAAATAATAATCTGCCATCAACACCAAGCAACTATATTAAAATTATCTCAGCCCACGTAATACAATTTCAATGGACATTCGTGAATCTAATATATTTTAATCTAAATTTCGTCTAGTAAGAGAAAGGTTAAATTAAAATAAACTGAATACTGGATTAGTTGGTTTTATAAATGTTTGGATAAATATGATAAAGTAACCTTCACTTTATTCAGTAAGACAGACATAGAGAAGATGAAGGATAGCTGAGGACATAGTAGGGAAAAATCAAGGTTTAAATGTCATTCTTTAGACCTTGGGAAAAAACACCAATTAGCGGGGAAGGGGGAGTACTGACGGTGACGATGGTGTAGTGGTTGGGGAAGGTGATGGTGGGGTAGGAGGGCTTCATATAGGGGGCTCTAATACCCTTGTCCGCCAGGGCCTGCAGTGTGGGCGTCAACCCCCTCGTCAGGTACTCCGCCCGGAAACCATCCAAAGACACCAACACCTGCGAGAGGAGCAAACATGAAGATGTAAATGAATGAAGAGATAAATTATACATACAGTACTGTGATTAACACGTTCAATGCTACCAAAAAAACCTGTAATGTTGTCTATCTTGTTTAGTGCGTGTGTGTGTGTGTGTGTGTGTGTGTGTGTGTGTGTTATTTATACAGTTTTGTGGATATTTATGTGCCTCATGGTATTAGCTTATTCTACCATAATACTAAAGCATTTCATAAGTGGTAGTGGCATGTTAGAGGTGATGACAGAGTACCACATGAGGTGTTGGACTTACCAAGGGGTGCTGGTCGTAAGTAGGAGGGCATGAGGCGGGCTGGAGGGTTGCTGGGAGCGGTGGCGCTGTGTGGTATGGAAAAGAGACCGACACACTCACCTTCACTATCACCGCCACCAGAAGTGCCTGTCAACGATAATATAACGTTAGTAATGGATTTAAATACAGTTATAAAATTAGACCAAATAACAAAACATTAAAGGAGGATTGAGAAATTGACTACGCCAGCATGAAGCTAAGAGTATAAATGTTTTGATCTCAGACACACCAAAGATTAAAACGACCAACTGGTGACGACACTGGACACCTCAAGTAGAAAGAGATATTAGAACGTCTTCAGTTGCCTCGTTTATAATTTATAGACCTTGGTTTATACTATAGACGGTCAAGGGCCGATCCAATACACGTTTATAATCATCAAAGTCAAGTCCATATACTGTATCTACAAATAGCGGTCACAGCCTCAAGCTGAAGAAGCTATCAGCACAAAAAAATTGTAACGTAACTTCTTTGAAGTAAGAGTTGTTCATTTAAAACCAGACTGACACAAGTTCAGGTACAGTATACATTGAAGTGCCCGCACATACCCAGTACTATATTCACTAACAGTGCGTAGACCGATCACCGAACCGCCTCGTAAGCTGACAAGTGACGAAAGGGATAACTAAGTACAGTACAAAGACCCGGGGATTACAGTCACCATCCGTCGCGTCTTGATCAACAGGGTGACAACAATTAAGGCTTTTTTTCACGGCCTTCAATCATAATCCTATACAGTACACCACATAAACCATCACACTGTTTCATGCTGTGGGCTGGTCCATAGTCGGGGAGGTAGGTTACATTACATCATGGGTTGAGAAAGGAGGGACGCTATTACCCTGGGGCACTCCACCATTACTTAGTCTTCTGTTTCACCTTCACCTTCACCACAGGCGTCTGGGTGGTTCTGGGAGTCCTTGGATACCTGTGGGTGTGGTCCACACACACACACACACACAAGGAGTAATCTTATTTCATGATCAGAGCCTAAAAAGGGATAATATGTACAAGAAAAAATAATATAAAATAAGACAGTTAATCCACACTTAATGTATCTTCAATATCATTATAAAACCATCAATGCGATATAGAGAAAACTCCACTGGGTTGAAGATGCTGAAGGTAGAACAAATACTGACAATGTATACAGCCTTAACAACATCAACCTAGAGAAGTCGACTTGTGAAAGAGACCTAGGGGTACTTGTAAGCCCGGACCTACGGCCCAGAAAACAGTGCGTTAATGTTCGAAATAAGGCAAACAGAGTATTGGGTTTTATATCTAGAAGTGTAAGTAACAAGAGTGCAGAGGTCTTATTGCAACTATATCTTGCGCTAGCCAGGCCGCACCTCGATTATGCGGTTCAGTTCTGGTGCCCCTATTATAGAATGGATATAAATTCACTAGAGTCGGTGCAGCGAAGAATGACGAAAATGATTCCGGGACTTAGACACCTTCCATATCAGGATAGGTTAAAGAAACTTAACTTGCATTCCCTAGAAAGACGAAGAGTGCGGGGAGATATGATAGAAGTATTTAAGTGGGTGAAAGGAATCAATAAAGGGGATATAGATAAAGTTCTTATAATATCCGAGCAGGATAGGACTCGAAACAACGGATTTAAGTTGGATAAGTTTAGGTTTAGGAGGGAGATAGGAAGGAACTGGTTCACAAATAGGGTGGTGGACGAGTGGAACAAGCTTATCAACTTTGTAGTAAGTGCTGGAGCGCTGGAAAGTTTCAAAAGGAGGCTAGATAGATTCATGGATGATAGAGAGTGGTAGTAACTCTCGACAGGAGCTGCCATGCACAGGCCAACCGGCCTATTGCAGACTCCTTATTTTCTTATGTTCTTATGTTATGTAAGCAAATGGACAAAAATTCACGTTACTGGAGGCAAAGCGGACGTAATTTACTCAGACTTCATGAAGGAGTTTGCTACCGTACCACACAGAAGGCAACTACAATTTTTACTGTATGGTAGCGTAGTAGTAGTAGTATGGTAATAAAATGTGCGGAGAAGGTATGGCTATAAGTGGAGGTTGGAGGCCACAAAATAATAATAGTAGTCATATCGCATAATGAATTTAAGTTGAAATGATAAGGATCAATCACTCGAAATGGATAAATTTACAATAAATTCGTTTATGGCCTGCCAGATATATTTCATCCGTATATTAATCAATCAAATAAACAGTTGACAATACGAGTTACCGATTATTTTATTTTCGGTGATATATTTCTCTCTACTGAAAAAAAAAACGATTTAGAGCCAAATACCAGACGCCGAATGTCAGAGCCTAGCAGCGTCTCTTGAGGCATTGGATTCATAAAGATCGTTAGTGTTACTTAAATAATACAACCGTAGCATAAATAAACATAATTTTCAATTTAATTTACCCATTTCTAGTGAGTCTACAACATTTTATTTTATTTGTATATTTTTTTATCATTACAGTACGGTAAGTGGTTGTATTACCTTTTACTTGTTTTATTAACCTAAAATATTAATGTATGCTGTGTAAGTGTATTGGTGCAGCTGTAAGTTTCCCTGACCTTTGAACTAGTGTGGTTTTTTTTATCTATATGTTTACGACAACTGTAGTTCTATAAAGTAACACTTGAAGGTTGAAGTGGTGGGATCTTGACATTATACTAAGAATAACTACCACCACAACAATTATTATTATCTTTATTAGTTTTATCAATGTGCAATTCGTACAAAAACACAAAAATATACAAAAACAGAAACTATTAGTCCCCCATCATCGAATTTCATTAAAACACAAACATGCAATACTCATGTCTGTGTTGGTCTAAATATATTTAGGAATTTCTGGAGTGATTTAATCCGACTTTTTTATTTTTAAGATTATGGTGATAAGTAGAGGAATTTTTTCTAGTTTATCCACTTGCTTACCAGCCCTGATCCCGATATTTTTTCCCAGGAGTTTCAACATCGGCTCACTCTGTCAACATTCAAGTGCCCTTTTGCTTCATTGTTCATTCTTTTTAGTCGAGAAGATCACAGTAGTGAACTCTGAGCTGGTTTTAATTGTGTATCAATGAAGGTCAATTGAAGAGCCCGAGTGAGTCTCCTTGTTTATCCTGGGGTGAAAAATATGACGTTTTGGAGACTTACTTTTATTATTGATCTCTTTTATTTTTCCTTTTAGTTATAATTCTTGAAGACTCGAGTATGAATACGGAATATTTTGTGTGAAGATTAACATATTTATTTAGTTCTTATTAGTAAGTGTTTGTATTTTTTACGAATACTTTCTTTCGTTTTATTATTATTATTATTACAGTATCATTATTATTTTACCTTTTTATCCTGCTTTCCAACAGTTTTTTTTTCTTGGTCATTATTTTCCCCTTAATCTTTCGCTCTGTCTTCGTCTCTATAATTTATTCTTTGAAGGTAATTCTTCTCTCGTGTATATTCCCCCTTTCTATTCTGCATTCACTTTACCTCTACTTTTCCTTCCTCTTTACACCCCTCTCTCCTGCTTTCACTCCCCTTTACACCCTTTCTCCACTCCTAACCACTCACCTATCTCCTCCACCTTATCATCACACAAACTAACCCCCTTCACACGCCCACTAACCCTCCTACCACGCCACTAACCGTATATGTTAATGACTGCACCCTTGCCTGGCAGCCTAGTCCAGTTCACAAGCCTGTTACAACACGTACCCACATCTGACCAAGTTTTTTTTTTAAGATTTTTGATGTTACGTAAAAAAAACTAGACTTTGTATGTTAATGTGTGTTTATGTTTGGCTGCTGCGTAAAGAAGATATTTTCGTTGTCGGTGATAATTATTTATTTATTACTTAAATCCAAGACAGGATTTTTTTTTATCTATACCTGTAGTGTGTGTGTGTGTGTGTGTGTGTGTGTGTGTGTGTGTGTGTGTGTGTTTTGAAATTCAATAAAATAAAAGGCTACAACTTATTATTACTCAGGATGATTTGCTTAAGGTAGCTTCTTTGGTAAGGACTCCAGCTGTGTATGGACTGTACTTCGTAAGCTATACCTGTATTTTCAAACTGTAGCTTTCTGTACCTCCACCGCTGCTGCTTTTACCTGTATCTACAGCTGTACCTGTATTTGTTGATAGACCTGTTCTTATATTATGGACTTGAAGCTAAACATCAATATAAATACAAAAACTACCGAATCATACAGTATATATACAGTATATATATATACAGGTATCTATCTATCTATCTATCTATCTATCTATCTATCTATATATCTATCTATCTACATATATATATATATATATATATATATATATATATATATATATATATATATATATACTATAACACCTACAGTGATTTACTTGCATATATATATATATATATATATATATATATATATATATATATATATATATATATATATATATTTACAACAGAAACACAAGATTTTTAGCCAAACAAATACAAAAATACGATATATCCTTAACTGCACAAAAAACACAACCAAATTATATTTTCAACAACAAAAATACGAACAATTATAATATTCTTAATCACACAAATATGAAAACCCTACAAAATATATCCTTCACTACACAAATCCCCCAAAATACACATCCAAAAAAGTGAACTAAAATTTTTTAATTCTCGATTATCAGCATTGCAACAAAAAATAATATATATACTGTAATAATACTAATAATATAATGATAATAATATAATACTACTACTACTAATAATAATAATAATATAATAATAATAATAATAGTGATAATAATAAATAAATACAAAATAAATATCCCCTTAGCTTCTGTTTGTACGACCTTCTAAGTCAAAAGGAAATCGAGATTATGTCGCTCCTCTCAACCCAGACCGCGTAAAACAAAAAACTGGACTGACAATGTTGTAGAAAAAAAAACGGGGTTCATTCGTTGCGTTTACGGTCTATTTATAAACAAAAAAATATAAAGAAGACAATGTAATGGGTATAACTGCTGGCGGAGGAGGTGGCAAGCAGGTAGGAATTGAAGGGAAAATGGGAGGAGGAAGGGAGAGGAGGGGGAGAAGGAACGCAATGTTGACGAGGAGGA